AAAAGTAGTTTTAATCGATGTGTAGTGTTCGTGTAAATATATAAAAAATCATTTTAAAAAAATAACTAGGCTTCTACCCAGAAGTCATTCTGGGTTAGCACACTTCATTGAGTTTATAAATCACTACGTACGTCTTAGTTATTTTTGTCTCCAATGAATAGTGCCTACCGATGCAATCTGTTTTAAAGGAATGTAAAGAGAGCCAATAAAATTCTACGTCCTTATAAATTGGCCTGAATTTTTTAAGGTTGGTTGTTTGAAATCCTCAAAAACGGATGTTATAAAATTTTTGTAATTCCTACATAAAAATCAATCAAAATTCATTTTCTTTTCATGCATAAACAAGCCAACTGTGGGACTAAAAGGTTATTTATTTTCTTTTTATACGATTTACGCGAGATATTTATTTGCTGACAATGAAAAAACTTATAACGAGCAAATATTAATCGTAACAAATACTTGCATGTTTTTTTTTAAATCATAATACCTTCCTTAACGTACATATTTAAAAAAAATCAGTCGTACTCTTTGCTCTATTATTAGTTTGAGAATAAGCCCCCCAACTCGCGCTTGCCAACCGCTGAGAGAGCAATGCGCATGTTATGAATTTTCGTGGAAATCGTCTCGGTTTCGTTAATTTTGGTCATTCGCCACTGCCAAATACTTCGCGTAACTATCAGTATATATTTATTAGGAAAATCTGGCTCTTATTATCGTACTTTTGGCGCAATTCCAAAGCTATACCTGTATGCTTGCCGCACAGTGTTGCAGATTGCCTAACCCTCAAAATATCCCGCCTGTTATAAGATTTAAGGTATATTCCTCCATAATTTTTGTTGTGGCTTTCTTTGAAATAATTGACATTACCCTTTTATCTCTCGGAATAATTGCATTTACTTAAAATACATTTCTTATTTAACGACGTATTATAATGTATTACTTGATTATCTTTGTCAATATTCGAATTAAAAATAAATAACTAAAGTTAAAAATAGTAGAATATCCATTTTCAACGTTGATGTTTGTCCGAATTCAATGTCAAGCAAATTCCATTAACAATCACAATCCAAACGATTTGCTTCGACGTTTATAATACGGTGGAATAAATTGCTAGCATCTGTCTGTCCATCCGATTACTATGTTGGTTACTGCAAGGCAAGAGTGAATAGGCTTTTGTTAAATAATTCATTGCGCTTTACCATCATCGCTTGAAAAAAACATTAAAAGACAAGATGTTTGAAAGTAAAGAAGACTTACCAGCTTCTTATTATTTTAGAAATTTCTAAGGTGTCTAAATAAGAGTGCTTATGCTTAGAGATATTTTCCTAGTGGTTAAGACGTATGGAAAGTGTATACAAACTCAAGATTAATACTTTAAAAAAGATCAAAATAAGTAATTACGCACAAATATTAATATTTAGAGTACCATGTTGCATTACTCTTTTGGTATAAAAAATTAAAAAGGTGAATTTCATGCGCCTTATAGTTATTTAGGAAAAGTAACTAAAAACATTACTTATACTCAAACTTACGTTAGATTCAAACAGTAATAAATTTCATAGTAACCTAAGCTCTAAAATGTCTACACTTGATCACCGACTAGCTCAGACTGGCGATAGGAGCAATAAACCGCAATACGATACAATCGTCTAGCGGAAAAGCATCCGATATTTATAGTACTCAATGGCCGTTTGTTTACTAACGCCATTGAAATATTACTGATATAATATTATAATATACCGTGTTTCCGTATTTCTATCTGGCTTGAAGGATCATCGAAATGCATTTTTTTTAATTAAGTTTTCATCACATACTCCTTATGTTTTTTAAAACAATTTAACTTTAAACCGTAGATTAATATGTTTTGGAAACTCTAAAAGTAATTTTAATTTTGATATGGAATAAGGGATAAGGGTGAACAACGAGTCTACCTAATGCTGTGGCCCATAGACATCTAAATGTATCCACGATTAAGGATGGAAATGCAGATGCGTTGTCACTCCAAGGCTTAACCCTGAAACGCATCGTTTCCAGTATAAAGTTCGGTTCTCTACACTCACCATAGGAAGCACTGCAGCATTAAGCTGCTATTTTACGCTGGTACTTTATGAGACTATGGTCGTTCATCGTTCGAGCAGATTAATTTGTGCTACAATTTTTTTTTTTTGCTGAGCATTTAATATACGACCTATTGTGCTTGTAAAAGAAATATCATAACGTATGGAACTATATACTTATTTAGAAATATAAGTCCATATAAGTTTTATAAATACTCATTGAACATCATCTCTGATTTTATCAATAGTTCGGAAAAAGCCCAAAAAATCCCAACGGGAATTTTTAAATAATAATTCACACAATAAGACGTACCTACAACCAAATATGAAATTTCATTTAGAAAGAGGGATCATCGAGGGTTTATTATCAAACATATTAACTTTATATTTATATATACTGATATAACGATAAAATAAACTTTTATATGTTTTTAAAGATTCTTGAGTAAGTGTTTTCAAAACGGTAATACTGAAGAAAATGTAAAACGGGAAAAACTTTTAGTCTTCGACCCCACCTGGGATAAATCTAACAGTAATGTTTTACTTTAACTCAAAGTAATTTATGTAGTTTCTGAAGAAACATCGTAAATGTTAACGATAGTAACTTTTATTTTGAATCTTATGTTTAATGTTAAATGGTTTCTTTTTATTTGAGTGGATGTAAATAAGGGGCAAGACTAACTAAGTGCTAAATCAAAATCAGGAGTACCAAATCATTTTTATTTTGTATACGTAAAATATACAATACAATTCAAACTCTTTATTGTTTTGCTCTTAAAATTTTGCCCTGTGTATTAATTTTTCCCTCGGTAATATTAAGTCTAGTTTTACCAAATTTAGTTTGTGTACTTCATGGTGACCTCCATTCCGTCCTAATCTTAAGCTATTATGAATGCGTATTATTTGTGATTACTAATTATATAACAAGCATTGTTATATGAAGTCATCGTAATATAGGTAGCTATAGTGCACTTGTGACGTGCCGGACGCGAGGAATAACACCACCTCTCTGTCTTCTCATGGATGTCGTAAAAGGCGACTAAGTGATTCACCCGAGCGAGAGGCTGCAGTGTTTATTCATTCATTCGTTCATTACAGTTCTTCACAAGTCCACTGTTAACATAGGACCTCCCTCAAGGAATGTCATAAAAGCACGGTCCTAAGCCACCTCCATCCATCGACTTCCTGCATGTCTTACCACGTTGTCACTCCATCTAGGGGCGGGAGCGCCCTACACTTCGCCTACCGGTATGAGGCTGACAACCTCTCTTCCCCATGAGTCTTCGAGCTATATGTCCGGATCACTGCCACTTCAGCTTACCTGATCCTTTGGTCTGTTGCTTACTCTGGTTCTACTTCGGATAAACTCATTTCTAAATCTATGACGCAGAGAAACTTCGAGCATAGCCCTTTCCATCGCTCGCTGTTTGACATTATCCATGTTCATCTTATGACCTAGGAGACACTATTGAAATCATTGAGCATAGTGACATAGCATAGTAGGTCCTCAAGCGATTCCATAAGGACTATATCGTCGGCAAATCGAAGGTGGGTCATGTACTCGTCATTGATGTTAATACGGCATCATTTCCAATCCAGTAGCTTAAAAACGTTCAAGCATACTGCGAAGCGAAAGCATTACCAAAGAGGTCTTATGTACGCCAGACGGCCATTTGTTAACTTAGCGAAAAACCTTGAGCAACATGGACATGGGAGGGAATGTGTGAAAGATTATATGGTTAGAAAGGGGGTAAATACTGAGATGGCGACTGATCGGGATTTGTGGAGGACAATATGCTAAGTTGACGCTGAATAAATGGGGATAAGGGTAGGGCGAGCTGAATGACTTTGGACACGGAGGCACAAGTACGAAACGGATGAATAATTATAGTTAAGTATCATTAAAATGATGATGTTTAAATAACAACCAATATTTAAATTTTAAATTTACTTACGCATTTATTTAAGTTTTTTACCTTCATTTCTTAATTAATTCAGATCGCACGTGTACTGTAGGAAAAACAACATAAAGAAAACTGTGCGAAAAATATGAATGTACCAACCTACATTCATATTTTTCACGTTATTTAAGACTGAGTTTTTTCAAAGTAGTCTTAAGTAAAACTATCTACCAAGAAAATGTTCGTTATTTCTAACCTGGGGAAAGACTAACATACAATTGTCTTGCCTTCGACAAACTGATAGTCTTTCCCCACCTTACAACGTCTAGGTTTCGTTTTTGTTTCGTCAAATATTTTAGAAAAACTTTTGTTTTTAGTTAAACTGATGAAATTACTTAAAAGGCAATATTAGTTACTATATGTTGAGTTCTTTTTTTTAATTTTTGCTCGATTTTCACCAAAAATTTCAAACATATGTTAACTTGGCAATTTTTATAAAATGCTTTCACTTCTAAGATTTTTTAATGACGTTTTTCGACCATATTTACTTGCAGTAGCAACATTTTTGTTTGGAGCTAGGAACTATTACGTATGAACTGTTTTACCGACTAAGAGAATTTTGTAAGGAAGCTATACTTATCGAGATACTAAACAGTGATTGTCTTGCTCCGGTGATAGTCTTACCCCACCTGACCCTATATATATAACAACACTTTTTATACTTATAGTTATTGTTTAAAAAATATCCCAATAAAAAAGCCTTGCATATTTTCTAGGACTTGATTGTACTTATAGGTACGTATTCATTGCTCTTTGTAATACTGAACTTCTTATGTAATACTGAGCCCAATTTACCGAGGTCGATAACATAAAAACTCTGTAAATAAATTATTGCATTCACGTGTGTTTTTCGAGTATGCTATACGTATATCTAACGTATGGGGCAACTTACATGTGACAATTGACAATATCAATCAAATTCTTTAAATTTGTTTATACTACGGAAAAGGAAAGAAAATAAATGTCCCTGCATTTGTTCTAGTGGGAAGCTGTGAAGGAGTCCGTTGTGGCGGCGATAAGCGGTGCGTGCTCGACGCCGAGCTGGGTGCTCACTGTGTCAAGTGTGGTGTGTGTAGCGTTGCGGGCGCGCCTGTTTGTGCAGTAGATGGACGCACGTACGCTGGAGCTTGCGCGTTACGGCGAGCCGCCTGCGAGCGTGGTAAAGCATTACCGCTCGCTTACAGAGGATCTTGTATTGGTGAGTTAATATTATTGCAATTATTTTTGCCCACATAATTCCTCTTCAAATAAATTCCAAGGCTTCTTATTGCAGACTGTATTATATATTACGTTGATGGTGATGATTTTCCAAATATTGGCAAAACTAATGGTCTGCGTAAGACATACCTAATATTACTTTTGGTGTAAGCACAATTATGCAAGCATTCACTCTTTATTTCAACTTTTTTATAAACGGAGTGCGAATACATGATAACGAACTTGTTAAATCGCATACATGAAAAAAATAAAAAATCGCCCACTTGAATAAAATAAGTACCGATTTGATATCTTATCGTCTTTTTACAGAGCGTTGTAGGAACGCTACAAATCCTATCACACGGAAGTTGAAAATTGCATCCAGATAAACCCTAAATATTTCTGGTCATATATAAAAAACAAACGTGGTGGCTTCCAGTACTTTTCCAATGTCTATGACCGACGGTACCGCTTATTTTACAGAAGGTAGGGACATCCGTAATCTTTTTGACTCTTATTTCAGTTACGTATACTGTAATTCTCAAAGCATAAATAAAAGTAATACGAGCTACTTTGACACCAATCTCAACATAATTAGCAAAAACAGTGAATGTCTCTCTTCCTTAAAATTAGATCGAAATTTAATTTAAAAAAATTTAAAGAGTGTGGACATATCTAAAGGAGCAGGTTACGATAATATTCAACCAACATTCATTTCCAAGTGCGCGAACAATCTTCCGAAACAACTTACAAAATGTTTAATATTTCACTTCAGACAGGTATTTTTCAACTATATGGAAAACTTCCAAAGTTCAGCCTATTCGAAAAAAATGGTGACAATCGTATAGTCTCATATAACAAACCAATCTCCATCTTATCTACCTTAGCTAAAGTACTGGCAGCAATTGTCTGTCCTACATACAAAACCACATTTTGAACTTCATATCACGCCGTCTGTTGATAAGTTTCCGTTCATAAAACCAACTGATCAACGATGATCAACTTGTTCTAATCTGGTCCTCTTCACTGAGGAATTAATTGAGCAGATGGATAGCAATAGACAAATTGATGTTATCTAAACGGACTATAGCAAGGCGTTCGATAGAGTTCCTAATGATATCGTTCTCAAGAAGTTGTCAATTTATGGTATTCATGGTTCTCTTTTCTTCTTTTAAGTCTTATCTTATTGTGTCGAGCTTTTTATTTGGTAGTGAATGGCGTTACATCAGAATTGCATCACATCCCTTCAGGTGTGCCCCAAGCTTCTCACATTGCACCTATATTATTCAACATCTTCGTTAATGACCTTCCTCTTAGTCTTACATTTACGAAACCATACATGTTTGCTGGCGACTTCAAGTTAGCTAAAGTCGTAAGTTCACTTGAGGATGCTGCACTTGTGCAAAGAGATATCGACTCTTTGGTAGTTTGGTGCACAACAAACGGCATAAAATTGTATGTAGATAGATAAAAGTGCCGCGGAGAATACCTCGTGCTCCTAGTATACCCGTTCCGTAGGACGCTACTAAGATCAAATTCCCCCATCTTTAGAATGAGCCATATTTACAACAAATACTGTGACCATCACAAAATCCCTGACATACATTATATGACAACTACTAAATTTAAAAAAAAAATGAGATATAGCTTTTAGTTTATAGCTTTATTATTTAATGTTTTATTGTGCAAGCGATGATTACCTATATAAATGATTATGCATTATGTCCTAGATACTAAGTTTTAGCAATTGAGATTTCTACTGGTGTAACAATCGTTGGTAATCTAATAAAATAAAATAAAAATAAAATAAGTTTAGATGCAAGAGCAAGATACACACAAACATTCGCCACACATTCAAGACTAAAAATTAATTTGTTATTGCACAATGGTCGTTATTATTACACTTTTGAAGCTTTGATTCCTTTTAAGGATTTAATCACGTTTTATTGTAAAAGATTTAACTCCCGACGTTTCGCTGCTTCGCAGCACCCGTGGTAACGGGTAACTGAGTTGTTTGACGTCTTGATAACCTATGTTACCTTCAATCTTTAATTATTAATTTTGGCTCAGTCTACGTAGGATAAGTTTACAGTAACTTGGAATTGTTGAAGTGGCATACTTGGGTTTGGATTTAATTTTATGAATTACAAGATCTCAAGCAGCAGATAATACCCAACTACCTTAATTTTTCGTTTTAATTTAATTTTAATACCCTTACCACCCTCCTTGACAGGAATCGCTGTTTTTTCGCAAAAAGATTATGGTCCATCAAATCTGATTGGAGAGGTCGTCTAGGGTCGTCTGTGATCACGTACTGCAGACTTCCTGAAGGAGTAATGTTTCAAGTCAGCTATATTATGTTATTTTGAGTTTACTATTCCATCAGCATGTCAAACACCTCGTGACCATGAGTACTGTAAAGCACTCGAAACGCTTGTGGTTAAAAAGATATTAAAATTAAACGCAACAAAATTTTTAAATTTGTTTACACTCAAAATGTACAAAACTAAATTACTTTGAAGAATCTTAGAGAATGTTATACTTAACTTTTGTGTAGGTATTCGTCGCTTATAGATTTAAAAAAAAAAATAAAAGTATTAGAAGGATTGTGTTCTGTAACGTTCGCAAATAAAGACATAAATTTACATTGTTGTTGTAATTCATTTTAATATGCACAATACAGCTAACGCAACATGCGCATCAGTGACTTGCGGCGCCGGCCAGCGCTGTGTTGCTGGGGGCGCTAGTGGCGCGCGATGCGTATCTTGCGGTTCTTGTGGGGGCGGGGCCCGGCGCGTGCTGTGTGGAACTGACGCCCGTACTTACTCCTCTTGGTGTCGTCTACAACGTGCTGCCTGCCATGCCGGCAGAGTTGTCGACACTTTGCACCGTGGTCCTTGCAAAGGTAATTTGACTTTAACTGTAGTATAATATACATATTACACTAATTCTACTTTTCTTTATCTTGTATTACATTTTGTAATCAAGTTTGTTAAGTTGTGACACCAAAATCTCAGCATACGGTTCATATTTGGACCTCGTAAATATAACCATGTCTCAAAATACCATAATAAAATAAAATAAAACTCAAGTGACTCCCAATCCATCTTCGTCGGAATACTCATATTCTTTATCTTTGTTATATTATAGTGCAACCTACTCGTTAATCTTTCTTCTACTTTTTTTTTGGTTTTTAGTAAGGAAGTGTTATGTTGGGATGAGACCGCTTTCTTTTCTTTTGTTTTCCCTCAATATTTCTTTTTTATTTATATTAATATTTCTTTTGTATCTTCTAAACCAAATTACTAAGTGGATTTTGTACTCATTTTATAAAAATGATCCACATGAAACATTAATTTTTATGAGAAACGTTTTGATGGAATCAAAAGTCAGAATGTGTCAAAAAGGCACGTATGGCAATTCACAATGCTCTATTAGTCCCTACTTTAACGTATGGTAGTGAAAGTTGGGTGTGGCAGAAGAAGCACGAGAGTAGAATAAACGCAGTAGAAATGCGGTCGCTAAGGAGTATGTTAGGGTTGAATCTGAGTGACAGGGTGAGAAACTGTGTGATAAAAGAAGAGTGTGGTTTGTAGGATGATGCGGTAACCAGGATTAAGAAAAAAATGCTTCGGTGGTTTGGTCATGTAGAAAAAATTAATGCGGAAAGACTGACAAAGCAAATATATGTTGCAGAAGTGAATGAAAGAGTCGGAAAGGGACGTCCTAGGCGGAAGTTTGTCGACCAAATTGGCGATATACTAAAAATGGGCCAAAGTAAGAGTACCCTTAATCGACGAGCATGTATGCGTAGGTATATGGATGTGGAAGAGGCGAGAGAGGTATGTCAGGATCGTGCCAAATGGAAGTCTGTAGTCTCTGCCTACCCCTCTGGGTGACAGGCGTGAGTGTTTATGTATGTATATACGTATATGTGTATGGAATCAACAAAATGACTCGTCCAGTTTAATATGACTGGAAATTAAAATCTTAAATTGAACAGTTTAAACGAATTTGCGATTACAGGCAAGCAAATAACGCAACCATCGGCCGTTCATAGACCGGTCTATGAATACTGCTTGGTAACATTTTCCGATCAATCATGTCTTTTATCGTGAATCATCTTGACACGCTCGAAGATTTCTTGCTGGTTATATTTACCACCGGATAGAGAATTAATTAAAACCGTGGAAAATAAAATGTATTATGTATTGAATATGTATTGAACATGTGTACAGTTTTATAATCCCTGAAAATATTCAGCCGCAAGACGTAGAGTATGTCCCTAGTAGAAAGGTTTTTATTAGGACTAAATCAGCCACACCACTGACCTACCACAACTTTGGCGTTTAGAATTTATTTCTACCGTATCCATTGTCGTGAGGATTTGTCCTTATCGTCACGCTTGCGAGGCAAATTGACGATTGAAGCTTGAAGATTGAAGAATTAGACGTCTCGCAACTTTGATACTGCCGCCAGTCTTCGCGCCGGTCTGATACATCCGATCGGTACATCTGGCACTGGTGTAAGCTATACCATCTATCGGCAGTCATAACAGTTTTCTTGCATTACACATAATGGCCTCTTACGATAACTTCAGGACTGATGAATACCACGGCCTGGTGACACAATACCGCCTTCTGTGAATTCTCACGGATTGTTCAGTGCAACAAAGGTTCTTCTCATTTAACACCACCACACATCAAATAACTCAAAGGATTATTAATGTTTATGCTAGCCTTACATGTGCATCGAAATTTCATAAAGATTACGTTTGTCAAAGTTCTGCGATCGTCAATCTTGCCTGTAGTAACAAAAGAGAAATATTTTTACATGTTTCTAGAGTTTGTTACAAATTTATTAGATATACTAAATTATGTATTTATACTCGCGTATTGTACTACAAAAAGTTTTAAAGACCTCTATTTCTTACAGGAAACAGAACCATAACAGACAACAGTGTGACTGATGAGAGAAACGGAGAAGACGTAGAAGCTGCGTGAACCCAGTAGTCAAAGACACTCTTTGTAGATTTAGAGTTCTAATGTTTCTGAAGCCTTTTAGGTGTCAACATGACCAACCTAATGATCTTTTCCAGACGACAATACTCAATGGTTCTGTACTTCTTTAAGACTGAGTACGATCACAGTTTAATCCAGTTACATAGCTTAGAAAGCTGTCTCAGATGCACTATCTGTCATTGTAGTAATGATAAACGCTCAACGTCCCTTACTTACAGTAATAACTTTACATGGCGTTAAATAAATGGGTTAAATCAACAAGCAATTAACTTAGCTGAGTGATAAAACTCAGGAGATTTGATACCCGGCTAAACCACTTTATCTCTGACATCGGCTACGTAAGACTTCTCGAATTTAAATATGAGGAGTGGTCCGTAGATAAACGTTACAATAACTAATCATTGACCAACAATTTTATTCCATATCGTAGAAAGTAGACATAAACAAAGTATCAGAACCCATGCACACTCTTCGAATTTTGTAGATAAATAATAATTCTATAGTTTTTAATAATTAACACTTACATTATTAAATTTGAGCACCAAATCGTACTTAATATTTAGTCAAAATGTTATACATAGGGCAGTAGTTAGCACAATATTCGGTACTTTACCTTGTAGGTACTTCTGTGACTTAACTTGTTTGTTTTTGTTTATGTCGCTCATAAGGACATATTATAGGGCTTGTAGGATGAAATGAAATAACACTTTCATCGGACTGATCTAATTTTTTTTCTTAAAATTAATTAACTCGTAGTTGTTTAAGACTTGAGTAATTTTACTTCACGAAATGTGGTTTTAACGCTTATGCAATATTTATTATTAAGTTATGAAGTATGAAGTTTTAGTGCAATAATGTTATTGAAAATTGAGTGAAATTTATGTTTATGTGTTTTATTTTGTTTATTTTTTATAAAAAAAATATCGAGGAAAAGTTAAAATTAAATTTAATATTAGTAAAAAATGTACTTCGGAATATAAAATACTATTTCAGTATTATCTCTATGTAAGATTTTAGAAATATTTTTTTTTATTTTCAAAATCTTTTACATTGAAAATTGATGATTTTATAGACTGTAGATAAAAGGTAATTTATTGTTACTTTTAAATTATTTCCAAAATATTTCCAAGAATTTATTTGTATGAATGTTATTTGTGAATTTATCGACATTTATAAGGCGAATATTGTCCTTCGTAGTAAATGTTTTTCTAGACGTCCTGCTTAGCTTTAAACAGTTTGAACTTGGTTTCTAGATAACTTCAAGTTCACCTAAGTCCTAACGGCTATATAAAGTGGAGTTCGTTATTTAATAATGTATGATTGTATAATTCGGAACATTAAATTTATTCGTATTTTATTAATATTCATCCGCAATGTCTATGATGAGTATATCTAACAGAAATATCGTTTAAATATGTTAATCCAAAGATATCTCAAATTACTACTTGATTAAATCAATGTGAGTAGCTCAATATGATATGAAAATTTCTAATTTTGAGATCAAAATTAAGTGTTAAATTAGCGTGATTTTGTTTAATAGATAATCTATTTAATCTACTTATTACTACTTAGTGTAAATGAGACTTGTTTCCCCGTTATGTGATCTTAATTGATAACCACATTTTACTCTGTCAATTACTTAACGAAGGAGGCGTATCTAAATGATCAACCCTAGTAAATCTTGCCTTAATAATTTCATGACGGCACGGCGGCAAATCGGCAAACAATTCTTATGAAATATTGTTATTAATCATTTATAACAAAGTATAGTTTTTTTTTTTCAAACCAAAGTAATTTGTTCGGACAACTTTCAAACTAGTAATTTGTTATTTCAACTATTTTTTATAAATTGGCTTAAAAATTAGTCATAATATATGTTATCATTTTTTTTTTCAAAAAGAACATATAAATCACTAATGTAACAGCCAACATAGAGAATCAAAACAAATAATTAAGTGAATTCTGTGTGATCATTGCCTCATTTTAACAACTTGAGTTAAATTAAACTACAATATATCTTTGGCCTTAAGAGGATATCTAGGTTACAAAAAAGAGACAGCTGCTCTAAAAATTGACGCAAGCTACACCCGTATTCTCCTGTTTCCGCCTCCAAAACTGGACTGATATTTTTTTTTCAACTTAAGTAGGATTGTAGCTATATCTGTGTTTTTATTTATGTTCGTTAAGTATAATATTTTTATAGAATAACGAACACACAGTCCAACTGATGGTAAGTGGATGCTGTGGCCCAGAGACATTTACATCTTTCTTCGATTACGAAACAAAATGTAGATACGTTGTCACCCGTGAGGACTTAGATGTTATGCCTCGTTTGCAGTAAAAGTCTCCGGTTCTCTACACTCACCATACGAAACACAGCAGTGGTAAGCTGCTATTTTACGCTGGTATTCTGTGAGAGCATGGTCCTTCCCCGGTCGTGCCGAGTCACTTTTGTTACAACTATACTATATCTGCAGCATGGCTCTACCTCGTTTATATATCAAGTATAATAATATATCAATTGTATTTGCTGGACGTCTAATAACGGCGGTGTAAGTAGGCAGTTTAAGGGAAATATAAAATACAAAAACATGGCAGTGGTGGTTAAATTGTAATTTATTAATCCTAATAAAAATATTTGCCTTATTGTCATTATTTAGGGAGAAAACAGAGGAATACGTTTGAATGGACTTAACACCGCCCGGGTATCCTCTTAATTGATCGTCATTACTTACTAAACTTAAGTCGTCAAATTTATTACTAATTAAAAAAAACTATCATAGCCGTGGTATTTAGTAGTGTAGTCAAATTTATGCATTCTTCGTGTAAGTGTAGGTATCGATTGTTAATTGTAAACGACTACTGAATTGTTGTAGTAAAACTACCTATTTGTTGTAGTTTAACTTTGCAAACATTAAAGATGATGTATAATAATATATTTTCTTGTTTCTTCGTAAAAATTTTACGTCGTGTTTTGTTTATTATCCAAATTTACAACCTTTATAAATTCTAAGAAAATAATGTGCGTTAAAACAGCTACCCTGGTTCTCCCGAATCATGTTCTCCTACTCTCTCTCCTACTTACTACATTATATTTTATTCCCATTGATTAATAACCAACATCAGACAACATTTATGTAAGTACCTACTAAAACATAGTGATTTTATACTATTTTGTGCCTACATAAGAAGAAGCAAAAGAATAATGTGAGATGGAAAAACCCCAGTCCTTAGGAAATAGGAACAGGGATTTGAATTACTAGATTAAGAACCAGTGGCCGGCAATCTAATGATTTTTTTTTTGAAATATCATATTTTTCATTTAAGTTCCACACTTACCTTGTATTAGAATGGGATTCATGTTTGAATCTTTAGAAAACCTTTAGAATCACACGTAGAATGCATGTGGCAAATCGACACTATGCATCGTCCACTTCCATCATTTTAGGCTGCGATGAGCGGAGCCAGGAGGAGCGTTACAGTGATTCCACGTTTTGCAAACTCTATTAAATAAATATTAATATCATAAGGATGAAGTGAAGCACCCACGTTCTGTGAAGTCTGCAGTCTGTGCACATGTTCAAGATCGACCCCGCCATTACATTAGATTTGATAGACCACAAATCCTCGCCAAAGAACACCGATTCCTAACTAGAATGGTTCGCGAGGCTATTGAAATAAAAAAAATCATGACATATGACATCAGGACGTCAATCACCTTAGTCAAACTCCCCCTCTCCCGTAACAATAGCTACTGTGAAGCACCCGAAATTTCTGGAATTAAAAAGTAAATTAAACGCGATAGAACCCGTTTAATTTAGTTTCATTTGATGTTTAGTGTTCGCTTAAATATAAGAAATCGTTAGGCCACTATGAAATCTAAGTTCAAACACAGAACAGAACAAGACCACCGCACTTCTGCTCCACGCGTCTGGAGTAGTGCTACCATGGAGGACGGAATTGAAAAGCTTCTGAAGGACTTCAAGTACCGGTGTTCCACCCGCTTTCAGAAGCTCCGCTGTAATTCCATCCTCGCCTGGGGCTCTACCGTTTTTAAGGTGCTGGAGAGCCATTCTAATCTCGCTCAGACTGACGTCCGGGATATCATCGGAATAGTGTCGGATACGACTTGCTCTTGGATCGTTACTCACACTTGCGTGTGGCTCCAACGATGATGTGTACAGCTGCCCATAGAACCTCTCAATCTCACTCAGAATCTCAGGTGTCCCGGAAACGATGCTGCCACACTCAGTCTTCAGCTTTGACAGTTGGCTCTTACTGGCAGACAGATCTCTGGCAAAGACTTTGGAGCCCTGGTTCCACTCGATCGCTCCTTTAATACGAGCAGTATTAAAGTTGCGTAAGTCTCGCCGCATGCATTTTGAGATCTGTCTGTTCAGTTGCCTGTATGCTATCAAATTTGTTGACGATTGCAGCCTCATCTCCCGTCTAACTGCCATGAGATTAAGAGTGTGATCGGAGAGTTTTTGTGTTCTTCTGCGGCAGGTCTTGCGGAACTTAGCTCCGACCGCATGGACGGTTTCCACGAGCTTGTCATTCATATCGTCCACTGCATTGCAATCTTCTAGGCACTGAAAGCGGTTACGTAACTCGAGCTGAAAGGTTTCGGGATTCTGGATTAGAGCACGAGGGGGACGGAGCGTTGACTTCATTAGACAAGATCTCTCCAACTTTAGGTTCAGTGTGCCTCTAACCATTCGGTGATCGCTGCCAGTTTTCACCCTTGCGACATCACTGAGACATCACTGAACAGTTGGCGTCTGGTCGTCATAATGAAGTCAATCTCATTTTTTGTAGAACCGTCGGGGCTCGACCCGGTCCACCTTCTGTGGGGCCGCTTCTGGAAGAGAGTAAAAAGTCCCTCTTTCTCCATGAAGTCGGCCAGCTGCTGACCTCTTGGGTTCCGTTGCCCTATCCCAAATTTGTCTACCTTCAGCTCACGATTCTTTCTTGTGCCCAGT